ATCTATGTATAACACCAAAATATTACCCTTTGTTTTTGTTCAGGCGTCATACAAAAACTAATACAAAATGCCTATTTGTCACCAAAATTGGTAAATGTATGTACCTAAATGTCTATTACAGCTGCTTTGGAATGTATCTAGGTGACCTGGAGATACAGCCGGATTATACAGGGTGGAAACGAGAAGTTACAAAATCCAAAAATTATATGTTACCAGCTTCCATAATCTGTAACCTATTATTTGGTACTATTTGAAAGAGCTCGTGAAGCACTTTCAGAATCAGTAACTAGATTTTCGATATCTTGTATAGTTTAGAAATAATCGAGTGAGATCACTTACCGTTTCCACCCTGTATAATCCGGCTGTATCTCCAGGTCACCTAGATACATTCCATAGCAGCTGTAATAGACATTTAGGTACATATATTTACCAATTTTGGTGATAAATAGGCATTTTGTATTAGTTTTTGTATAACGCCTGAACTAAAACAAAGGGTAATATTTTGGTGTTATACATAGATTTCGAATATAAAAAATATATAATTTAACTAATTAAGACATGACAAAAAAACTGAGATATGTCTCGTTTCTGTCGGGCCTGGGTCACAGATGACCGTTCTTCTTTGAAGTGTTAATGCACAGTACTTTTCAACCGACTTCAAAAAAGGAGGAGGTTCTCAATTCGACCCGTATGTTTTTTTTTATTTTTTTTTTCTATGTTTGTTACGCGATAACTCCGCCAATTATGAACCGATTTGAACAAATCTTTTTTCGGCGTATAGGTAATACCTCAAGGGTGGTCCCATTTAAATTTAATAATAGAAAAAACAACCCCCAAGGGTGGAAAATTGGGGATGAACTTTTTTATACGCAATATCTCCGCCGATTTTAAACCAATTTGAACGATAATTTTTTTGTTGAATAGGTATTATCAAAAGGGTGGTTTCATGCAAATTTAAAGAAAATATTTCACCTCCAAGGGTGGAAAATTGGGGATGAACTTTTTTATACGCAATATCTCCGCCGATTATAAATCAATTTGAACGATTATTTTTTTGTTGAATAGGTATTATCAAAAGGGTGGTTTCATGCGAATTTGAAGAAAATATTTCACCCCCAAGGGTGGAAAATTGGGGATGAACTTTTTTATACGCAATATTTTTAATTTTTAGTTTTTTTTTGTGTTCACGCATTTGAAGTCGGTTTTATTTTTTTTAAAAGTTAATTATTGAGTGATGAGGAATCAAAAGTGGTTCCAAGTGGTTCGTCTAAATATACGCACGGTGCAGTCCCCTCCCTGGAACTAGGCTTAACATGCTCCCGCATGTCTAGAATATTAGCTCAATGTTGATTTAGTCGATTTTCTCCTGATGGGAACATGTAAGACAAAAATAAAATTTCCAATATTACAGACCTTCTAGAGCAGATGCCGCGAAAACTATACAAGATATAGAAAAACTTGACCATCTCACCTGTAGCAAATTGAATAAGCTTTTTTTGGTTCATAGTAGTCATGTCACTAGGACGCATAGTTTCCGAGGATTAAGCGAAAAACCGAAAAGTGGTACCTTTAAACCCCCCTCTCCCCGCCGGCTTAAGGGCTAAGGGCGGGGACTTTTGCTATGTTCACCTCCTAACTAGTCTAAATAAAGTCCCGAGGTCAGAAATTGTGTTCCACGGATTTCTCTCTACACCGTCGTTAAAGCATTCATTGACTGGACTATTATGGAATCATTACTGATATCAAACAACGATGATATCTACTTATGTGCAGACAAAATTACCAGACCGACGCACGTGCGTGATGCTATTCTAAAGTACTGAGTATTAAACCGTTTTCTACTGCTCCAGTAAATAAATCAATTAGTCTTACTCAAAACAACGATTAACTAGTGTTTGTAAATAGAAATAGATGAAAGTAACGCCACGAAAATAATGCGAATTTGATTTCTCTGGTAAAAATGCTTGTGTTTCGGAATTAATAAATTCTTCAAAAGTGCATTTCGTTATTACTCGTACATATTTTATTTCATTCATATGCCATAACATTTTTTTATTATCATGGCAGAAAGTATTATCTAATATTATTTCAGTCTTTTCTCTATTTTAAAATCTTTTAAGAGACATTAAACTATTCGGCCAAATTCATCAAGTATAGCTCAACTAGGACTTTTATGAGTTATCTTCGTTGTCGACAGGTTAACGTTCGTTTTCGATAACCATGTGGTATTAAATAACGTAATGGCTTTGCTAACTCCCCAAATAAGTAAACAATAGTAGCTGAACAGGGTCTTCTTTGTTAAATTGTGTTAAATGTTATCAATTACAACTGATAACATTTAACTAATAACACTTAACTGATAACACTACAGTGTTTTGTGCCTTTCTACAGAATCCATGAGGAATCATTTTTTTATTTTAGTTTATAGGTAGTCTCATTGTTACCTTTTTGGCATGATTATTAGAAAACGCTAACTAATGATTTTATAGTGAAAATATGCACAATTTCTCTGCACGGCCTATTTATTCTCTATGTACAGTCATTCATATCAGACTATATACGTTTTCGTGGGAATTTAGTACTTATCACTGCATAAGATCTCACGGTATTGAGCTTTATGTGACGTCATATGTATGTGCAATTGACAAGACAAATGCCAATCTGCTCTGCGATTAATAACGTTGTTTACGGACTTCAAATATGTATGTATACAGCGTGATTATGTACAGTCAACCGCATATAAAACTGTACATTTTTGACACAAAATAGCACGTATTAGAACTACATAAAGATGCCAAAGTTTTTAGCTTGATTTGCTGTTGTTTGTACATCGAGAAACGTAAGTTGTCAAAATGTTTATTTAATGGTTTGAAATTCCGAGTAACTATCAGAAAAATAACTGACCATCTTATTGATTGTATGAGCCAGTTTTTTTAATCCGTAGTTAACTCAATGTTTTTCGACAATAACCAGCTGAATTTTTACCAATTTTAAATGATTGGTTCATATTTTGTAAATATTTATTTAACTATGATTAATCAAACCCCTTCCATCTCCATCATCATCTATCAAATATCTGCCTATATAGAAAAGTTCACTTTTTGTCGAAATAGCTACGGATCACAAAACTGAACCTAGCTAATGACCCAGCCAACGTGAAAACAACTTCTTTGAAAATTCCCTTCGTCGAGAAAGACCTCTACCCCTATAGACCCCTATGTCCCTTTACTGGTACACATTATAATACTTGCCGTACTTTTCCCTATATTTTATAAACCTTTGCTTAGTCATAATAGGCATATTAATACCGAAACAGGGGGGACACAATAGCGTCACGGTACGCTAGGCGGCTTCCGCAGTGGCGCGCTTCACACAGAGTGATGCCACTTGGCCGTAACATTAGTTGGGTTATTGATAAAAATAATTACTTATATAAATGCAAAAATAACTGTCTGTCTGCTATTTTCAGAGTACTCTAGTTTTGATGAAATAAAACAAAGATAGATAGAAGCGAGACTGGTGCTATTTGTGAAATAAATCTTAAAGGAAATTAAATGGGAGATGAATATAATATGAGGTACCCATTTTCTTCTTAAATTAGGCATATAAAACATTTTTATTTATTCGCTTAACTAGTAAATTAGTGTCAATTTTAATGTAAAAAAAATACGTAGGTACCAAGGCCAATTTTAAGTTAGTTTGTTCATGTTTTACTTTTTCAGAATTTTCCATACTTATCTGTAAGTTAAGTATGATAATAATATACTCGTAAATCAACAACACAGCCTGTATATAGGTTCGACGTGTCAGTGAAGTGACCTTATGTGAATTGTGAATCGATGAAAATATTAGCGAAATAACCATTTTGACCCACATAGAGCCATTGTGTTACAGTGGTTAACGTGAACTCTGCAAAACCCCATGAATGTCAACAGCATTGAATGAAAGACAACTCATTGGTTGCCTATTTTCTAGATACATAATGATAGTTTTTGGACATAACACAAGCTATAATAAAATAAAATAAAGGTTTAATATAATTGATAAACGTTGACTATATGCCAGATATCTCTCTCCGAACCTTGCAATAAACTAACAGCCAAAGTGACAAATAGTTTCTAATAGTCTGTCAGGGACTCTATCAGCAAGCTAACGATAAATAAAGTGCTTAAACAGGTCTTTTATTGTCTTTCAATAAGGCTGCGGATTTGTTTGTTTAAATACATAAAAACTATAAGGCTAAGTTGCACCACCATCTTACTTTAACAAAAGTCAAATACGGTAAAACTCCATCCAAAAAACTCCGATTATTGTTAAAGTAAGTTGGTGCAAATCAGCCTAAGTTTTTCTCCAGACAAAAACCTGTTAGGCCAAAACAAACAAAAACTGCCACCAAAATAATTGTTTAAATAATAAAGCTCTCACGCGCAGCCATTATTTTGGTACACACGACACATTTACTTTCGTCACGATTTTCGATCTGAGTTTGTTGTTTAATAACCTGAATCATTAACATGGAGATGAGTGTAGTTATTAACTATTTAATTACAGGAACTAACGTCTATTGTTATTATGAGGACGAGTGAAAATTCATCTTCTATTATAATAGTCACAAATAATTATTTGTGACTCATACAGTTTAAAGTATACGAATATACGAATAGGTATCAGACTTGACTTTTTAGGTTACTCAATAAAATGGACAGTTTAACGTGTCATCCACAGCAGAGTCATATATATTTTCAGACAATGAGGTAGATTCATTATTCATACCCATATTTCCTAACTGGGAATAAATCTACGTATACAAAATTACTCTACATGTGTGTTCCACTTGGAAATCGAACCCGGAACATATGAGTCGATTAATCTCATACGCATAACTGTGGTATAACATAAAAATGTTAATTAAAAGCATTAACAAGTTGTTACAGTGAAGTGGTTACAGTTAGCTCTTAAAATTTGTTTAGAAATAGCCGTTCAAAAAGTGAAATGTTTACCTAAAATTGCCGGCGCGTAAAGCAATCTCTAGCGTGTCGAGGTCTTCCTCATAGTCGTGGCACAACTCCATCGTGGAATTCCTTGCTTCGTGCACATCGAACAGCACAGCACCATCCCCCAACTTGTCCGTCAAAACGCTTTTGTACGACCGCGTTCCAAAACTAGACGTCAAAGACGACCCTCTGGGAAACCTCCTCGGAGGCACATTCACGTTCTGAGCCAACTGCAATGGCTTCCTCAACCTCCTCTTCATATATCTTCTCATCCTCAAAGACAGCATCACACGAATACGAATGTGACGCTTTATATTCCTATCATAACGAATTTGCTCCTTCAATTTCTTATCCCGTTTCTTCTTCCGCGGAACTTCGTCTATCCGCTCCAAATGAGTATAACTACGGTCTACTAATCTATCATTATCTAAAAGTGGAGAACGGTGGAAGAAGTCACTGTGGTTGTTCTTCCACGCCTTACTTAATGACCAGTTCTCCCCGTACGAGGAGTTTTTGAAAGTGCATTGGATAGGCTTCTCATAGATATCTTCTTCCAGCGCAAACATTCTTCTAGAGAGCAGAAAATTGTCGATGTTCCGTCGGAGCGTGCTGCTCTCGGAACTCACAGTCGCGTTGATCAAGTTTGAAGTTAGCGTTTCAGATTTCTTTTCAAGAAGAGCATTGTCGTAGTTCAGTTTGCTCGGCTCCGGCGGTAGTTCCCTGCTTTTTCGCTTCGCTATCGTCATGATCCTCCTTTTCATTGCTGACATGTTCGTCAGCTCGCTTTTCAGAAGCGGATCTTTGCGCTTATCTGACGTCATGTCAGGAGACCACGCGCCGTTCTCCGAGCAACTACAGAAGTCTTTAATGAGCCGAGCTATAGCGTTACAGCTGTCATCCCTTGAACGTTCCTTAGGCATTTTCCTTTGGGCTCATCTCTTGATCGTCTCGGTTCGTTACTTAACTGTCACTACTAAGAAAGAGCACAGAAAATCAGTCCGCTGTAATGTGGAATTTGGAATTAATTAGTGACGGTGTACTTCCGTATCGTTACGAGGTGGTTAGGTAATCCCGAAATGTGACCGTGTCTTGAGAACCGTCGCTATTCGCTTTAGTTATTTGAGGCAGGGATGTTATGGATATCCGTAACCGTAACCGAAACTTTCGGATATCCGAAATAAAAAAACATCCGAAGCCGTAACCGTAACCGATTCAAAAGTTCCGGATAGTTTCGGATGTAGGCAGTTTAAATTGTTTTTGTATAATATTATACATACATATGTAAAGGCATAACAGCCTGATTTACCTTTATAATGCCATCTAGTATCAATTTTTATTTTTTACTAGCTTTCCGCCCGCGGCTTCGCCCGCGTGGAATTTTGTCTGTCACAGAAAAACTTTATCGCGCGCGTCCCTGTTTCAAAAACCGGGATAAAAACTATCCTATGTTCTTTCCCGGGACTCAAATTATATCTATGCCAAATTTCATCAAAATCGGTTGCGAGGTTTAAGCGGGAAAGCGTAACAGACAGACAGACAGACAGACAGACAGACAGAGTTACTTTCGCATTTATAATATTAGTTGGGATTTCTTTTTATTCGACGTAAAGTGTGCGGCCATGATTGAACCGTGTTGGACAACTATTGCAAATTGCATTCTAAAGCACAGATATCCGTAACCGTAACCGAAACTTTAAGATATCCGAAATAAAGAAATATCCGTAACCGTCACCGAAACCGGTATAATATTATTCCTATATCCGTAACCGTATCCATAACCGAAACTACATATCCATAACATCCCTAATTTGAGGTACAAACGTCCATCAATGGCTCTTTACAACTTTAATCGATTACCCAATGGTTCTAGCACCAAAATAGTCTTTGTACCGTTTTATTGACTCGTTAAAGTTATACAATGCGATGATTAGCGTTTTAACGCGTCTATGAAACTTGGCTAATGGTGACTCAGTAACTGACCCAGTCGGTCAGTTTAAAATTATAGCGTAAAACTGCAGGCGATGAAATAAAAATATGTTTAATAGTTCCTCGTTTCATCATGCTACTCGTATATTAAATTAGTTGTTTTGAAACTTTTTGCAACGGATGCTAAGTAACCGATATCCCTGTTGCAAGAAATAGTTCAAATTCCAAAAATTTTTAATGACCAAACCAATAAACTGCCCTTGTACTAAAACAGTCCGCTAATATTTGATATTGATTTTACGTATTTTAAGAAACGCTTCAACAGTTTTTATCTCTTTGTTCAACTCGACTTCATTAATAAAAGATTAACACAATGTAAGTGCAAGTATCAAATGCCTTATCTACACACCGTTTGAAGTCCTGCAATTAACGTTATCTCCAATCAGCTGTATATCTGTGATTATAAGACTATGTAATTTTTATAATTTGCATGCTGCATGGTATAGAAAGTGTTTGGCCGCTACGCTCGACGATCAAGCAACATTATTTAACATTTATCAATAAAAAAATGTCAATAACATGTTCTTAAACCACACGTATTACAAATGACGGCTACAAGAGCAGCAATGTTGTTACTTATGAAATGTTTCTTTACAATTAAATGTTTTGTGTAGTTTATTTCTTGATATGTATATTTTTTAATCTAGTGAGCTAATCTAATAAAACTTCAGTGTACCTACCATGAGTTTACGTTAGGTGTGCTCGCTAGCGAGTACGTTAAAAATCTCTATGAAGATTTTGTTTCTTGAAAGTAGCCGCTAGTGGCGCTGCACGATATGTCATACAATTAAATGTCATTTTTTTACGCAGTCGCTAGCGAGCACACCTAACGTAAACTCATGGTAAGCACACAGATGAGCCTCGCACTAATGTGGTAACTCTACGTTTCCCTTGATAAATAAATAAAAACAAGTAAGTGATTTTTTTTTGCCTTGCAAAAGGTGCTATTGGATTACTCCAGTTGCAGGACGGTGTGCTATTTTTTGGGAATCTGAACGTGTATAAATTAATATGTGCAGTTTGTTTTAGTGTTTGTTTATTTAAATAGCTTGGTCATTTGTTGTCAGAGTTATTGAAAAAGAAATAACTTTTTTTTGTCAACAGACAGACATCTACAAAACCTAAACTCCAGACCAATAGAAATAGGCATTTCAACTGTTTCAACTAAAGTAAACTAAACTGTTGTGTCGTGAATTAGTAGTGTTGTAATCGAAATTACGATACAGCAACAAATCGATGCAAATTGATTAATGAGATGATTACTCGTACTGCATTGCTTATTCGGTTTACATTTGCATGCTATCGGTAAAACAAGTTAGTGCTAAATGTTGATGTGATAAATCGTTTATGCTACGATTACAAATGGTTTGAATACTCAATTGAAACCTTCCTTCTCCTTTAATAAATTCTGGGTGCCAAACGCTAACGGGTACTTATCGCATTTTAAGAATTGAAATGTTTCATTAGATCATAATTATAAGGACTTATGATTATTTCATTTACAAGTATTATCTAGGATGCTTAGTACAGTACGTCCTATTTATTTGTGAGGATATATTATTTTGGTTCAAAGTCTGCGCCACTGAGTAGTATATTCCTGTCGTGTAATTTTCTTTAAGATTTTCCTATTCAAGAGAGAAACAAATATGTATTTACTATATGACATACAACTAGCAGCATACATCTAGCCGTTTCAGCTATCTGGAACTTTTCATGGAAAATGTTCCGATATCAAACTGAAAGCTCGAATTTTATCTTCGATCTAGTTTTCGCGTGATTGCCGGGTTCCTACATAATTAAAAGGAATGGGCCTAATTCATCGCGGGTAATTATAATCAAGCCAATGTGACGGAAAGCGGCGTTTTTCATACATTTGTTTCATACGTGTGCTCGGACAATTACTATTGGCGACATGCACATAATTAATTCTTCGTGTAAGGAAAACATTTGTTGATATTGCTCAAAAAGCCACATGAATATGGTGATTGCTTATTTACTGGCAAAATCTATGTTTTTAGGTAATATCTATTTATTAATACAGATTTTAAATAGGTGGAGGTTTTTTACGATATAACATTCAACGATATTTTCAGCAATTATAAACGTGACACCGGCTTCAAGCATCAGTATTACGGCGTAATTATTTTTTATTAATTCAGTAATTTCTCGCTTTTTAGTGCCCGTTTTTAAGTGCCTTTTCACGTAATATTCTGTGTAAGGTGTGGTGATTTCAGATAATGTAATAAAAGATGTAACAAAAGTACATATATCATAACATTACTCTGAAAAGTGCTTCGCACAGATTTATTGCCTTGATTCTTGATGATAATAATATTATAAAATTGTATTGTTATTTTAAAAGGAGTTTTGTCGGTAAGATAATTAAGTAGGCCGTTATTTTATACGAGTAAATTAGAACAATTGCTTTTTAATAACTACCTAACATTACAAACGACATCTGGCATGAATGAAATAAAAATCTCATAAAATTTTAACGCATTTCTCTTTAGAAAACACAGTTATCTAAAACGTATAATAACATGCATTGACCATGACTATCCATCTGTATGTAAATAAAGTAAAAGCCGACAGAGTAAACAAAGCGGTGGCATGAAAGGCAATAATTACTCCATGAGCATGCGAGATTCTGTTCCCAACTTTTTCCTAGAAATTTCTAAGACTATTTTCCCAGAACCATTGTGCGTTTTCCTCAAAAAACTCGACGACATGTTTACGACCGAAACTTTTAACGAGTCCGATAACATCGTTCGGTAATCGGTACCCAAGACACGATCGATCATTTTCACGACACCATCCAATCATACCAAATAAGAAGAGTAAGGCACTAATCAGTCAAATTATAAATATCCATCATCTCCGAAGAATTTTTGCATTGCGCAATAACAGTTTCACATTCACTCTCACACGGCACGTTTGTAAAATGTTAATTCACTTTCTTGCACGAAACTTGTTCCGATAATTCATTCATGATCTGTGGGTTAAAAGTTTGACATGTCAAAACGCGCGCCAAAAGTTTGACGTTTTGTTTTTTTCGCGTTCAAGGCGCGGGTGTCGGTAAATCGGCTTTCGGGCGCGGACTACGGTGCGCGTATATCACGACGTGTAATTATGTTGAGTTGACCATGTCGAATTGCGCGTGTCGAGCGACTGCCGCGCGGGCAGCGGCCTCGCTCTTTCTCCCATTCCACATAGGTGATATGATGATACAGTCTGTTGATGGAAATTAACATTCGCGATGCATTGTTCGCTTGACAGCTGTTCGTTGCACCATGGGCGACGCACGTGCTTCCGAGCCGGTGCTTCAAACAATATAGAGTCGATTATTATAATTTATTCACGATATGAGCGAGTGAAAAGTCAATAGAAACTAATGGGAAAGTAATAGGAGTACATAATAATTATGTTAATCTATCTGATATAATAAAGGCAAAATGATTTAGAAAAGGTGTTGTTTAGATATGATTAATCTTATCAACAAAAATAAAAGTGTATTTTAGCAGTTTAATTTTATTTGCAAGAAATAGTTCTTTATCAAAAAATTCAATTAAAAAATTGGTTAAAATGGTTCTAATTTTGTCGGTCTTCAATCATCAAAAAAGACCGTTTTTAATATGTAATTAAAGATTCCTTATTTAAACAATAAAAACTGCTAGAAACATTAACGAATGGCGTGTTTTACGTTTACGATTTGATGTTATTTCCTCATAAATATTCAGTTCTTTTATTTGATAAAACAATATTTGACAAAATATTTATTGATTTATTTTCATACTATTATCACGGGAACCCGATGCCTATAAATCTTGAATCATTCCAAATCAATCTCACTAGATGGCGACATAAGTATCGAATTTCTGAAGACGTTTGTAAAAAGTCACTAATGGTCAGTAAACTGTAATGAAAAAATGTTTTACACATTAATTTGTTCATTTAAACACAGTGAATGATTCAAATAAACAATATTTCTTCATATAATAAAATTTTATCTTTAGTAAAAACTGAAGTCTTAGACAATCGTTTTTGCNAATTAAGCATTATATCACGTTCATGTTCACCTGCACATTCCAACCGTTGAGCGTTTTTTTCGAATTGACTACCCAGTCCCTGAATGGACAGGAGCTTGACCGCAATCCGTGAGGTGTTCCTGTGTGCCTACCATGAGTTTACGTTAGATGAGCTCGCTAGCGAATACGTCAAAAAATTCTATGAAGATTTTATTTCTTGAAAGTAGCCGCTAGGGGCGCTGCACAATATGTCATACATTTAAATGTCATTTTTTTACGCAGTCGTTAGCGAGCACACCTAACGTAAACTCATGGTAGGCACACAGATCTACCTACGAGTACGTGATTTATTGTCACCGTAAAATTGTGAATTCCGTCAGATTATAATCTGACGTAGTTAGATTACAATCTAACCTAACCCATTGTTAATTTACAATCTCACGCGTTCTTCTGTAAATCGACGAGGTTTACAATTTCACGTTGACAGTTATTTAAAACTAAACACTCAAACAAAATTCTTTCTCAAAGTTTTGATGAGTCAAAGATTTTTTATTTTTCGATAGTGAAGTTATTTTCCGATAACAATATAAACATAATACCTATCTTAAAACGCTTTTTTCATAAACAGAACGGATTGCATCGAACACTCCGCTTTTTGTGGAAATATCGTATTTCAAAACTCATCGAACTTTTCTATGGACATTTTTAATTAAAATTAATCAAACTCAAAAGTCATGTAACTTTTCGATTAGGCTTGTTCGATGCGTCATATGCCCATTAAATTCGGTGTCATTATGATATGCTAATTTTGTACTTATTATATTGAATTGAAAACCCATACACCTATTTTGCGTCTATTTTCCTTCGCCCATTTCTTATTTTTAGACAATCACGTGTCGGCAGATCATAAGCCTGCAGGTGGTGCGATGACGCTCCCTCTCACGGTGATTGCATTCTACATATACATTTATAATTAAAATTTGTCTATATCAAAAGTCATGAAACTTTTTTATTACACTTGTTCGATGTGTCTTATGCCCATCTAATTTTGTGTCAGTATGATGATTCTAATTTTTTACTTATTATATTGAATAGAAAAATCCCTGCACTTACTAACTAACATAAAACGATCCCTTATCTTCTTTTTTCCTTCGCCCATTTCTTATTTTCAGTCACGTGTCGGCAGATCATAAACCCCCAGGTGGTGCGGTAAAGCTCTCTCACGGTGACGGATGCCTACAGCTATCGGATTGCATCGAGCACTCCGCCTTTTGTGGAAACATCGTATTTCAAAACTACATTTCTACATTTATAATTAAAACTAGCGGCCGCCCGCGACTTAGTACGCGTGGATCCTGTTTTACCCCCTTTTCCCGAATTTTCTTTGCTATAAACCTCACGGAGCCCGAGACCTTTCCAACGAATGCAAAACCGTGGAAATCGGTTCGTGCGTTCTGGAGTTATAGCGTCAGGGAGGAAAACCCGTCTTATTTTTATATAGTAGATTAGTCTATATCAAAAGTCATTAAACTTTTCTATTAGGCTTGTTCGATGCGTCTTAGGCCCATCTAATTTTGGGTCAGTATAACATGCTAATTTTGTACTTATATTGAAGTGATAAAACCCCTGCACTTACTAACTAACATAAAACGATCCCTTGGCTTCTTTTTTCCTTCGCCCATTTCTTACTTTCCGACAATCACGTGTCGGCAGATCATAAACCCCGCAGGTGGTGCGGTAAAGCTCCACGGTGACGGATGCCTACAGCTATCGGATTGCATCGAGCACTCCGCCATTTGCGGTGAAATGGAAATTTCGAAGACATGATTCGGTTAAATGCTGCGGTGAAAATTCTCAGCTGTAGGTATTAAGTGTTTATGTTTATTCTCGGACTTAAATTCTGAATACAATAAACGATTCGTTATAAAGCTTCAGTTCCCTACTCTTTGGAAACATTACTTGTACTCGTACGTTTTCTTAATTTTCAACGAATAAACTAGTATTTAAGAGAATTTATCTATATATATAAAAATGAAACCCGTTTCGCGTTGTCACGGCATCACGTGTGAACGGCTGAACCGATTTCGATAATTCTTTTTTTTAAATGTTTGTGGAAGTCCAAGGATGGTTCTTACGGAAAAAAATATTAAGAAAATCTCTACGCTAAGGCGGTACGAAGTTCGCCGGGTCAGCTAGTTTAAAATAAATAATATATTACAGTAAACGTCATAATGAAACCTTCCTTACATTGCAGTTTAAACAATCCTGGAGATAAATCATTTTCAATTGCAAGCATAATTTAAACGAGCAAGATGCTAGCAATTTTCTATAAAAACACATCAAATATTTTTCTATTTCCCTTCGAAACTTTTTCATCAAACACCAACTTCATATCATTCCCATTTCTGAGACAGTATTTCACCTGACACAAAACAAGTAGCAGATACCATTCTATTGAAAGCCACAAAATGGTACCAGCTAAATCATTCCAACCATATTCAGTAAGAGACCAAAGCGATATTTACTGTTGTCCCCCAGGGGAAATATGTGAAACCAAAGCCTCTACATTCACATAAATTGAAAATCTCCACCACTAAACCAAGAAATGGAGAAACAATTTATCACATACATAATACGAGGGTTTGTCGTGTTGATAGCGCTCGTGTGGTATTTATACACACGAGCATTTGGGGAAACACTTGGGAAATGGTTAGCGTTTTGCTTTTGATAACTTTTGTGTTTGAAAAGGATTTGGTGAGTATTTATGTAGAAAAAAGGTGCTTTCATGGAGTATGTATAAAGTCAAAGTCAAAGTCAAAATTTCTTTATTTGTTTAGACTAATAAATAGTTCTTACAAATCGTCATTTTGCTCTTAAGGAGCCTCTACATGTCTCATAATCTTTTTACCCTACCAGCGCTTCGAGACCAACATTTCGCAAGTGCTGAGAAGAAGCGCCGCAACAAACTCAGTCACCACTGTCTGCCGGTTAATATAAATAAATAGAAATAGCAGTAGTAGGTACATTCGATTCAGGAGCAGTTCACTGAATTTACCATGCATTCTTGTATAGTGTATCTTATAAGAATGGGTATACAAAATTGCGTGGTATATTAAACAAGGTAGTGACGTGCTAATATCTAGACTTACAGATTACATACTTAAATACTTGTAGAAATGACTCGCATACATAAGTTGGAATAACTTGGATTGACCAGTCCCCGAAAGCAGCGCCTGTTCACAGACATGACGAGTGAACCAGCCATCGCTTCACTCGACCACATTAGAGATAATAGTAATAATCTTTGGTATTAATACTAACTACAACCCAATCGAGCTAACTTTGCACCTCGCTGGAATGCGACTCTTCCTCCCACTGAGGGCTATTGTTTTTATACTTAACAATTGGCACCCCTGGCGATTGACAGGACCTTACTCTACAGTGGCGCCATCTTGATGAGTGCAAATGCGATAGTCCTTCTACCACTTTAGCGCTCACCAGTTGGTGCCACTGTCTTCGCTACTAGCAAGTGACAGGACCTTACTCTACAGTGGCGCTAACTGGTGAGCGCTAAAACGATAGCCCTCCTTACCCGTCCGTATCAGAGCGTCGATGTGACGTCACGACCGCCGGGTGCGCAGTTAACTTGACCGGGTTATATGTGCACCTATGTATGAAAGAATTGTTACGATCTAGGATAAAACAACTGTATACTATGTTCTATGTATGTACGGCCTGCAACCATATTCATGCAAGTGAACAGGAATTTTGTAATAATTGGCGTATTGAATTTATTCATTGCGGTGTATTTGTTTTCATTGTGCTTTAGTAACATTAATGTTGAGTGAAAGATTAACAAGAATGCTGAAAATATTTCTGCCCTTACTGAATAAAAAGTAATAATAATAAAACGTATAAACTAGAGTTTAAATCGCGTATCACTTTTACGAGTATTTTTAGAATATGTGTAACATCAATGAAGGATGATAAACACCCCACGAAGCTTTATCGAAGCAATAATTGTAAAGAATCTCAATAATAAAATATCATTCCAAAATAAAATAGGTATGCTATCATATAGTAACTGCGTGCTGTCAAACTCCTTGCTCGTAAAACCG